GTGAACTTTGATAATCTGGGTCAACCACGCTAATATATTGAGTACATATATTTCAAAATCTGCAAAATAAAAGTGGCAATAAAGCTAGTACTTCAAGGTGGCTCGAAAGTGAGAACACAATGCTCTCTTCTTGACTCCGAAGGATGGCAATTGCCATCTATCTGTATTCATCAGACCTTTAACTTGTCCAGGCAGTGTATCAAAATTGTTGTAGATGCACACCGTTAGTGGTATGGCTTAAGGATGCCAGGTTATCAACAACTTGGTTGGCTTCTCGGAAGCAATGTCTTGTAATGAATTCATTAGTGTCTATCAACTTTCTTATCTCTTACTATATTATCTCTCCTCTAAGGAGTGTGCTGATAATATCCAACTCTAGTACTGAAAAGGATAAACAGTCGCTACAAATATAATCTGATTTTAGAGCCCGGAGTCGAATCCCACAGAGAATTAAAGATTAATATTTTATTTTTAACTAATTAACTAACAAATATGAAAACACTAAACATTATCAATTAAAGATACTAAGTGTTGGAGACGAGATTAAAGAGTCCTAGAGTTATCTATAATTGGGTTGATTTATTCTATAATGATCATGTGCACTCAACTTACTGCAATTCTCTCAAGAAATTACAATAATTTACTAGACGTATTCTCTTGAACAACTCTAGTTGGCAATTTCTCATAGCTCACTATAATCACGCCAAAATTTCGTTAACTCTAATCCCACTTTTAAATCCGTTGTATTGATCTCTCATATACCTAGGGAGTGACGTTGTTCAACAACTACCTAAATATTCATTCTCTCTCGAACAACACATAATAAATAGGCACATTTAGTCGATGACCATTCAATTAACAAGAAGCACAATATAGTTGAACAGATATATAATAAAACGTCTCAATTATAGAGAAACACGGTCAAGAATACATCCAATAATTAGTTCCATCAAAATCCTTGATGAGAAATTTAGTTATTTATAATAGTATGAAAAAATAAAGTACTAATATTCATAACCAACAACGGAAAATAGGAAGAAGAAAGGAAAAAATCGTTCTTGAATCTTTCGTCTTCTCTCCTAACGTCTCCTTCCTCCACAGGTAGTTCCTCTGCCTCCTTAGGTATTGTGTAACCCATAAAAATGGTTCGAGAAAGTATTTATATGGTATAGGGTTTTTATGGGGCAAATTAGGATACTCCAACTTTAATTTGGACTACTCAGCATAGCTTGTGTACTCCCTCGCATCGCATGAGGGTGCATGAGCTCATCAACTCTCTTCTTCTTCGTGCACCCGTTCGTGCTTTATACATTTGCTTCGCTGTTTTTGCATAAGAGATCCTCCTTAGCTCGTTTACTTTCGTGCTTTGCATGAACTTGCACAAGCTATCCACATATTTCTTTCTTTACTTCATCACTCTCAATTTGCATTGAGTACACTTCTTTTGCATCCACATTCCATCCGACTCGCTTCCACACATAAGAATACATATAATGAGTATAATTCACTATAAAAACTCATGTAACCTCCCGCAATCACACAAGTTATGAGATAACAGTACACACGAAAATATGTATTTTTCATCATTTATCAAGTGCCAAATCTTCTTGATATAATTTTGCAATATGAGTGAATCAGTCTCTCCAATGACAAGGTTATATCCCTCCTAGATGCATCATTTAAGACAAAACAAAAGAAAGATGCTTCAGCCCAATTGCCTGTGCCTTGTATCATTGGTAGGATTAAGGCCATAATGTACCTTCCAGCATCATCCCTGACAATTCCTCCTCCATAGATTTCATTAATGTATGATCCATTAATGTTCAACTTGATAAACAGAAGTGCAAGCTTGATTCATTTTACTAAGATAGTAAATTTTTTGTCATCTTGAGATCCATAAGTCCGCTTAAGTCATCCCAATTTCCAGGAACAACAAGTCTAGCAAAGTGTGATCTTGTAAGTTGGCAAATGTAAAGGTGATCAATGCTATGGATCTATTGATGGCTAAGGCTTCATTTTCATATTTAGAGCTGCACCAAGATCTCCAAAGTTCCCATATAATTATAAGAGGCATTATATTCACGACATATTTAGCTAATGGAATTTTCCAGCAGTTAAAGAGAAGGATCCTTAAGGTGATATTCTTGTATTGAATTCCCATTCTGCTAGCAATGCCATACCTGTATTGCAAGAATTCTAGAGTAAAATAAATTATCAATTGATCTTATGTCAGGATTCATACCTGCTCCTGTGAAGCAACAATATCTGGACACAAGGTTAATGCCCAGTCTTGATACTCTATCATCTGTAGAGAGCCTGTTATGGTAGCTTTTCATGCAAAAAAAGGCCATCTTGAATGGAATTATCTTTTTGTCAAATTCTGGAATCAAATTGTGAAACTTTTTTCTTCTATATGAACACATTCCATGCAGAGAGACATGAATTTTCTAGAGTTTGTACAAGTCCAATATTGACTATCCTCATTCACTAGGGAGATACTAAGATGAAGCTTTGTTACCATCTCTTTTATAGAGTTTGGTGATGTCACCCATCTTATTGTAAAGAGGACTTTGTCCAGTCCAATTGTCAAACCAAAAGCTTATATTACTTTTACTAACCCTCCACCAAATGTTATCTTCCACTTTGTTTCTCATTTCACACATAGCTTTTGACCAGCTTTTCACTGGGAATTGACTGGATGCACCTCTGCAGTATTTTGCCATAAGGAATTGGGACCAAAGTGAGTTAGTAGTTCTGATTTTCCACCACCATTTAGCTCTAAAGGCTTTGCCAGCCCTTGATTTTGTTGATGATTTTACTACCCATTTTAGAGAAATAAGTCAGCTTCCTTCTGCCAAAGTATAGGAGGCAGCTCAAATATTTCATGGGCAAACTCTCAAATCTCATACCTAATATCTTCCCACTTTTTTGGTAGTCGCCTGGGGAGAGTTGGGAGCCATAGTGTAGCAGCTCTTGTTTCTGTTTATCAGCTGACCAGAGACACTCTCATATGTAGCCAGAGTGTTCAATATGAGTTGAAGTGAATCTTTTTTCATGTTAATAAAAATGATTGTGTCATCAACAAAGACTAAATGGGTGTCCTTAGGCCCTTGATTGGACATGAAGAAACCTTTGTAGTTTCTGTTGTCATGAAGGGCATTTAACATTTGGGTCAGAAGCTCAGCAGTAAGGACAGACAAAGAAGGTGAGAGGGGATCCCCTTACCTTAAAACCCTATACTGAATGAGGGAACAGCAGTTGTTAGATAAATCTGTAGATCAATTCAATCCAATATTTTGAGAAGCCAATCTGCCTTAACATATAGCAAAGGAAAGGCCAAGACGCTCTTATCATAAGTTGGACATGCCAAGCTTAATAACTACATTTTTCACCCCTCATAGGCTTCCCTATGTCATCAATTATTTCTTGAGCTAGAAGGATGTTGTCAGAAATAGCTCTTCCCTTCGACAAAAACCATTATGATATTGGCTGATAATCTTAGGCAGTACCTTACTGATTCTAGAGTTTATCACTTATCTTGCTAGACATTGCAGGAGGCTAATAGGTCTAAAATCAGAAAACTCCTGAGGGGAGTCAATTTTAGGCAATAAGATAATACAAGTATGACTGAAGAATTTGGGCAGAGGGGCCCCTGGAAGAAAGAAACCACAACTTTATGCAGATCTTCAACAATAATAGTCTAGGCTGATAGGTAAAATTTTCCATTGAGACCATCAGGGCTAGGAGCACTCTCAGGGTCAATTGAGAACACACTGTCCTTGACTTCCTAGAGAGGATGTAAGGCATTGATTTCTGCATTATCTTCCTCAGTCACAGTCCCTCTTACCACTCACTTTGTGTAGAGCTGTCCTCAGAAGTAGTCTCAGCCTTAAACAGTTGTTTGTAAAACTTAATCTGCATCATCACCTACCTCATTAGTTCCTTCCATCCTCTAGCCATCAGCATCTTTAATTTTCTGAACAGAAAGTCTTTTCCTTCTGTCTTTAAGCACACTCCATGGAAGTGAGCAGTATTGGCGTCTCCCTCTCCAAGCCATTTTACCCTAGATTTTTTACCTTAAATCATTGTCCTGCAACTTCAAGAATTCGGTGAACTCAGCTCTACCTCTTGAAAGATTCATGCTATTATCCATGTTATTATCGGTGATCGATGATTCTTCCAGGTTAGTTATGATAGCTTCAAGCCTTTTAGGCTCTTCACAGATAGCTCCAAAGGCCATCCTCGACCAGGTATTGAATGTCTTGCACAATCTCTTTAGTTTCTGATGTAGCACATAAAGAGGGTTACATAGGTAGGTCCAGCTTAGTTTATCAGATATGTGGGCTGCAGGGGTGTGGTAGTGTTGAACAAATGCTGTGCCGGAGACTTGCTGGATGGCTTTGCGGTTAGATACACAGAGGTCATAAAACCAACAGGAAACATATGCTTTGGCACCATATTCGCATTGCTTTTCTCTCACTCCTGCTGATATCGCGTATGGTGTAATGAACTCAATTGAAATAAGGAAACAAACAAAAATAATCGAAATAGAATGATTTTTGGGGCAATTTTCTATTAATATTGATAAGAAAAAAAATGATTACAAACCTGAATGAAAATTAATTACTCCCTAACTAGACTCCATAGATGCGGATTCCTGAAGAAGAGAAGAGAAGAAGAAGAAGAGATGTTAGGAAGAAGAAAGAGAGTGAGAAGAGAGAATAGAGAAATCGAAGAGAGAGAGAAGGAAAATACCCTCATGAACGATGCCTTCTCCACTCTATTGAAGTTGGTTATAACAACCCTTCAGCTGACGTGGCCAAATCGTAGCCTTTGGAGTTCATTAATGCCTAATATAATCCTAGTCGTTCATTCAAATTTCTATTACCCCCTTTCCTATTTTCTGTTATTGCCTATTCTCATTTTCCATTTCGAATCCCAGCTACTGCTTCTTCTTAATAGGTCATGACATACTCTCCCCCTTCAAACAATCCTTGCCCTCAAGGATTGGAATTAAATTCTGGAAACCTTGCCTTGATGTATTGATAGTCCTCCCAAGTGGCATCTTCTGGAGGGAGATTTGACCACTGCCCCAGTACCCTTACCACGACAGAGTTGTCCCTCTTAATAAGCTGCCTCTGCAAGATTGCCACTGGTTTCACCAGGAACTTACCATCCTCGCCAGTGAGTGGTAGTGTGGTCTGCACTACTACTCTATCGCCCACCTTCTTCTTGAGCAAAGATACATGAAACACAGGGTGGACCTTAGATTCAGGAGGAAGATCAAGTTTGTAAGACACTTTGCCAATTCTTGCCAGGATCTTGTAGGGTCCATAGTACTTAGAGCTCAGCTTCAAGTTTCTTCTCAATGCTAGAGATGTTTGTCTATAAGGTTGCAATTTCAAATAGACCAAATCCCCAACTTGAAACTCCCTATTTGTTCTCCTTTTGTCAGCATAGTATTTCATCATCTCTTGTGCTTTAGTGAGGTTGTCCTTTAACAGCTGTTGCATCTGTTGTCTATGCGTCACTGTATCTTCAGCAGCTGGTATCACAGTCTCCAATAAGGGGCCCAATGACAACTGTGTGGGTGAGTATTCGTATACTGCTTCAAAGGGGGTACATTGTAAGCTGGTGTGGAAATTGGTGTTATACCTTTATTCTGCAGCAGTTAGCCATTGTTTCCACTGAGTTGGCCTATTAGCAGTCATACACCTGAGATAGTTCTCCAGACACCTATTGACCCTTTCAGTTTGGCCATCACTCTAAGGGTGATAGGTAGTGCTGTAATGAAGCTGAGTCCCAAGGAGTTTAAATAAGGCTTGCCAAAAGTGACAGAGGAATACCTTATCTCTGTCTATCACTATAGACTCTGGAATACCATGTAAGCAATGTATTTTCTTCCAAAACACCTCAACTACAAATACTGCTGTGTAAGGATGAGTAAGTGCTATGAAGTGTGCATACTTTGTCAATCTATCAACCACTACAAGGATAACTTCTTTGTTCTTGGATTTGGGTAACCCTTCTATGAAGTCCATACTGATGTGGCTCCAAGCCTGGTTAGGGATTGGTAGGGGCTGCAACAACCCAGGGTAGGCCATGTGATCATCTTTGCTCTTGAGTCAAACATCACAACTAGCCACATGATCAATAACCATCTATTTCATCCCATGACAATAAAATATTTGTGATAGTCTTTTGAGAGTTTCAAGCTGCCCTGAGTGTCCAACTACAGGAGAATCATAAAAGGTGGATATCAACTGAGTTCTGAGCCCACCATTGGCACCAATATAAATTTTCCCTTTCTTCCTGAGTATGTTGGCAGTGTAGTGCCATATGCTGGGTCCTTGTTGAGTTACAACCATTTGGCTAATGATTTCTGTAGCTTTAGGGTCCCCTTCATAGCTGTGTGTTATTTCTTGAACCCATAGAAGAACTGATATACTGATGGACTGCAATGCTCCTTGGAGTTGGTTCCTTTGAACTTCTGAATCTTCCTGTTGTCTAGAAAGGGAATAAGCTACCCTATTTTCAGCTCCCTTCTTATACTGCACCTCATAGTCTAATCCAAGCAATTTGGTCAGTCCCTTTTGCTGTATAGCAGTAGTCACCCTTTGTTCTAGGAGGTATTTCAAGCTGTGATGGTCAGTTCTCACCACAAAATATTTGTACTGTAAATAATGTCTCCACTTTTCCACTGCATTCAGCAGAGCCAGATACTCCTTTTCATAGATGGATTTACCTCTGTGTCTTGGAGCCAAGACCTTGCTAAAGTAAGCTATTGGTCTACCTTCCTACATCAGTACAGCCCCAATGCCCATTTGGCTAGCATTAGTCTCTACTATGAACTATTTGTTGTAGTCAGGTAGTGCCAGCACAGGTGTAGAAGTCATAGCTCTTTTCAACTTTTCAAAGGCTAAGTCTGCTTCCTCATTCCACTTAAAGGCTTCCTTTCTTAATAAGTCAGTCGACGGTCTACAAATGATGCCATATTTGGCAACATACTTCCTATAATACCCCATCAATCCCAAGAATCCCCTCAAAGCTCTCACGGAGTTGGGCTTAGGCCACTCAACCATGGCCTTGATTTTGGAAGGATCAGTTGATACTCCTTTTACAGTTATAATATGCCCCAAATATTCAACTTTGGACTGACCAAAAGAACACTTAGACCTTTTAGCAAATAAGGACTGTTTCCTTAAAGTATCAAAAACTGCACTCAAATGAGTTGCATGTTACCTCTCAGATAAGTTGTATAAAGTATGTCATCAAAGAAAACTAATACAAATTTTTGAATGAAAGGTTGAAAAACCTGGTTCATCAAGGCTTGGAAGGTGGCTGGGGCATTTGTTAGCCCAAATGGCATCACCTTGAACTCATAGTGGCCCATGTGAGTTCTGAATGCTGTCTTGTACACATCGTCCACCTTCATTCTAATCTGATGGTAACCGGCCCTCAAATCTACTTTGGAAAACATCACAGACCCACTCAGCTGATCCAATAGATCATCCACAGTGGATATTTGGTATTTATCCTTTATTGTAATGTCATTCAGTCCTCTATAGTCTACACAAAACCTCCAAGTTCCATCTTTCTTCTTGACAAGTAAGGCTGGTAAAGAGAAGGGTGATTGACTATGCTGTATGGTGCCATTAGTAAGCATCTCCTTGACTTGTCTTTCTAATTCCTCTTCTGGTAATAGTTGTATCTATAAGGCCTCAAACTGACTGGCATAGCCCCAAGTTTCAAGGGTATGGTATGGTCTAAGGTCCTGACAGGAGGCAAGGCCTTAGGCTCAGCAAATACATCTGAGTATTATTGCAGTACCTCCTCAATAGCCTCTCCAATTGGGTCTTGCTCTTCTGCTTTAACAGCACTCATCATGAATAGGTGAGTTATCAGAGCCTGACCTTTTCTTAGCATTTTGCCCATTGCTCCACTGGTGATCATAGTCAACTTCCCTTCCTCAGTAATGCCCTGCAATATTAGCTTGTTGCCCTTCTTACTAATGGTAGCACACATCTTCTCATGGTCGAATTTGGTTGGATTATGCTTCTTCATCCAGTCATTTCCCATCACCATGTCACAACCCCCAAGTAGAATAATCAGTAAGTTCTCTTGGAAGGGTCTGCTTTGCATTTTCCACTGATAACTCGTACAAATCGAAGTGCACATAACATAGTTTCCATCAACTACTATCACTATCACTGGTGGAAAGGGTTGGGCTTGGTACCCTGACTTCTTAACTGTGGTGGCATCAATGAAACTGTGAGTACTCCCAGAATCAATCAACACTGTTAGTTTCCTGTTCCCTATGGTACCCCACACCAGTATGGTATTGACTCCTTTGTTAGCACCTGATAGGCCATTCAAACATACTGCCTCTATGACCTCTTGTTCCACTTCTCCTTCAATGATCAACCCTGCAGAGCTTTGTTCTTCCTTTATCTCACCAGTTTTAGTAGGAACTTTTCTTGTCCCTATCATGTTATTCAGTTGCTTCTTCTTGCATTGATGGCCTTGAGTATACTTCTTACCACATTTGTAACACAAATAGTTACTCTTCCTATACTCATATACCTTAGGACTAAGCCTAAATGAATCTGGCTTAACTGTAGTTGCAACAGGAGCTTTGGTACTACTAGGGTTGCCAGTTATTAAAGAGGTTTTGATTACTACTTTAGTACGCTTGAGAGAAGCTTCTATGGCCTTATCCTGCAACCTAGCTTGTTCCACAGCAAATCGTAGAGTTGTAGGTTTAAATAGCTTCACCCCAAACCTAATCTCTTCCTTCAGAGCCCCAATGAAACTGGATATGAAGTGTGACTCATCCAAGTTAGGATTCCTTATCAGCATTTGGGCTTTCAAGTCCTCAAACTTACCCAGAAATTCATCCACTATCCCAGTTTGGCTTAACTTGTTGAATTCCTCTACTTCCCATTAATTCCTTCCCAAATTGAATCAGCAATTCTTCTTTGAATTCAGTCCAGCTTACTTCACCTTTACTTAGTACTAAGGAGTCGTACCAAATATTTGCCAATCCATTCAAATAGAGAGCAGTTGCTTCCACCTTCAAGTTATCTGGAGTTCTATACAAATTAAAGTACCTCTCAAACTTCCTAATCCATCCTTTAGGCTCATGACCTTAAAAGTAAGGTAGCTCTTATTTAGGCGCAGGAGCTTGTACTACTGGAGGTCGATGTTGCCTTATTTCCTGACCTGGTATAGGTAGTAGACCATCACCTTGAGGTCTCTCCTCTTGTGCTCTTTGTGGAACCCTTTCTAGATTAGTCAGTCGCTCTAGGATCAGTTCCAGTGTGCCCTGTATTCCATTTTGAGTGTTGCGAAGTTCCTCTTGAGTGGTCATAACCTCATTTAGAACCTCCTTGTGTCTAACTAGTTTATTATCAATAACCTTTAACCTAGTTCCTTCAACCATCACCCCCTTCACAGTTGTAGAATCGAGGGTCTGATACCAATTGTAATGAACTCAATTGAAATAAGGAAATAAAAAACAATAATATAAATAGAATGATTTTTGGGGAAATTTTCTATTTATATTGATAAGAAAAAAAACGATTACAAAGCTGAATGAAAATTAACTACTCCCTAACTAGACTCCATGGCTGCGGATTCTTGAAGAAGAGAAGAGAAGAAGAAGAGATGTTAGGAAGAAGAAAGAGAGAGAGAGAAGAGATAAGAGAGAAGAGAGAAGAGAGAAATCGAAGAGAGAGAAGGAAAATACCCTGATGAACGATGCCTTCTCCACTCTGTTGAAGTTGATTATAACAACCCTTCAGCTAACGTCGCCAAATCGTAGCCCTTGGAGTTCAATAATGCCTAATCTAATCCTAGCCGTTCATTCAAATTTCTGTTACTCCCTTTCCCATTTTTTGTTATTGCCTATTCTCATTTGCCATTTCGAATCCCAGCTGCTGCTTCTTCTTAATAGGTCATGACATATGTCTTGATAATGCGGAGGAGGAATTCCCACGATTGTAGGAACATCTTTACGTACCACCAACAGAGTTTGTCGAATAAAGCTTGGGTACGAAGGGTGGCGTAGCGACGATGCTTCATTACTATCCCGATGAAGTCCAATCTGTACTGTTTCATCCTGGAGATAATCTACGATTTGCTGGAGTTTCAGAGCAGTGGGGAGAAGTTCCGCCTTGTGTTAAAGTTAAACTTATATTGTGTCTTTTTGTTATTGTTCTTCACTGTGGTTACACTCTTATCCTGTGATGACTTTCAGGATTCTACAAATAATTGTTCCAAATACACTGTTTTTACTTTTTGTATTCAAAGGGGTAAAAATAAATCATTAAGGTAGTCTGTCTTCCTTTTTAAATTGAATTGAATTAATCAAGAAATCATTGTGGGATTTAAATTGAGTTTAGAGAGCATAAGTATCGATCAACCTTAGAGATGTATTCTCCAAATCTCTTATTCTTTTGAAATTGAAAAAATAGATGTAGATTTAAAATTTCATCAAATAAATATAAGAAATTGCAAAAAAAGAATAATCTCGATCTTTTCTACTCAGTAATCTAGTTTCAACATGCATGAAGATCAATAATTAGGTTCGAGTCGCTCTTTAGATTCTCATTTCTAATGGTTTCTCAGTTTCCATTAAATCCAATTTTTAATTCCGTCATAGACCCATAGTCATAACTAGTTTTGTTTACCTAATACAATTTAAGTCTTTTTGGTTCTATATAATCCTTTTTAACCTAAGATAGAAAAATTATATTCCTTGTCGCATAAGTAGCGATCTGGATGGATGGTGTAATGACTACCCCTATTTCCGACATGGACATGGGGAATAAATTCCCCGTGAAGATGCGAAGATTGATAAAATATAACACTAGAGGTCGACAAATAAAATATAGAATATGTATAATTTATAAAGTTGTTTTTTTCTATTCAAGTAGTAATTGAGCATAGGAGATCATTTAATCAAGTAATATTTATTTTTTCTAAGGAAAGGAATAATTTATATTAAAGAAATTAAGAGGTCTAGGTATTATTATTACATAACATAGGGGTAGACCGCATAGCGATTGTCCCCAATATGTCTTTATTGAAAGCATGTAAAACAAAGGCCGGTGGAGTTCCCAGTAGGTTATGCTGTCTTCCTCCATCGTTTTTGATTGCATGGTACACCCATACTTTGCTAGAGCGTCAGCACAGAGTGTCTTCTCTATAAATATGGTTTATAGTCTCTGATCCAACTGCATCAAGAAGAAAACTGTGAATCTATTTTTACTATAATTGGGAAGAGATTTTTTGTGAAAGATAGTTCCAGTCCAGTAAGTAGTACAAGCAGCTCTGCATATATTGTAGAATTTGCAGTCATTTTCTACGTAAAGCCCACAATCCATGTGACATTGTGGTCTCTAATTATTTCCTCAGTCCAGTGGTTTGGTGAGTTGGATCATAAGCACCATCACCGTTGAGCTTATATTGACTAGTTGGTGGTGGTAACCATTTTACTGGGATTGCAGCGGTGGTTTTGGAGATGTTGTGGCCTGAGTGAGTGAGAGGTATTCTGCTACTTGAAGCATGATTTTTTTTTCTGCATGTAGGGACTGAGATTAGGTTAAAGAGATTTGAATTTCTATTGATCTAAATGTTCTAGAAGATGAATGGCATTGTGGTGGAGTATGATGCTGTGAAGGAGGCATTTGGTGTTTGGATAGCAGTGTTTTTTGAGGAGCTCCCCTTTATCCAGTTGGCAAGGTTGTGTGTTTGGGGTATGCGTAAGTTGAATAAAGCCCATAAATGGTAGGAGTGCTTGCATCCAAAGAAGATGTGATTTATGTCTTCTACACTATTTGGGCATAATTGACAAAAGTGTGGTTGAAGTATTTTTCTCTGGTATAGAAAGTCTCTAGTAGGGAGTTTGTGGTGCAGAAGCAACCACAAGAAGAATTTGTATTTGTTCAAGCAATTGAAGTGCCAAAACCAAGAATAAGTGACATGTGTGAGTGATAGCAATTGGTTGGTGATCTGGAGTTGTAGCATATATGTTGCTTTTGTAGTAAAATTACCAAGGGATGTTTGGTTCCATAAAGGTTGGTCAGGCTTATTGGTGGAGAATGGGATGATAGTGCGGTTTATTAATTGAACAATGGTAGGATGTAGGGATACGAATAATCTTCCTAAAAACCACAAGTGGTTTGAGATGATTGATGATACTGTTAGTTGTTTCTCCATATGTTGTAAGGGGCCCTGGATCGTGTGGCATAGACAACTATTGTTTGGGAGCCAGTTGTCATTCCAGGGGTTGACGGTTGATCCATCCCTTATGTTCTAGGAGAGCTCTATTTGGAAGAGGGCAGTGGATTTGGTCATACTTTTTCATATCTTTGAATCAATTAGCTTGGCCTGGTATGTTCTTGTATGTCTATGTTGAACATATTTTTCTTGAAGTATTTTGGCTCATAAGGAGTTTGCACTCTTACGGAATCGCCAAAGTAACCCTGCTAGCGTAGCATAGTTTTTATCAACAATTTTATATAAACCTAGTCCTCCTAGTGATTTGGGAGTGGTTATAGTCTCTAAGCTGGCAAGGTGGATTTTTTTTTCGGGGTTCAATCCCACAGAAAATTTCTTTGGATACGGCCGATGTGATTTCTAGTAGATGTTGGTAATAGGTTGCTTTGCATGGAGTAGTTAGATATAATGGCTAATACTGAGTGTAACAGAGTAATTTTTCCTGCCATGTTGATAGTTTTTGCTTTCCAACCGAAAAGTTTATTGTTCATTTTATCCATTATGAATTGGTAATCCTTTCCTTTTGGAAAGTTATTTGTTAGGTGGAAGCCAAGGTATTTCCAAAATTATTGGATTTACAAATATTTAGTACTCTAGTCAAATAATCTTGAGTGTTGATGGGCACATTTCTTTAGAAGAATACTTTGAATTTGGAGAAATTAATTTTTTGTCCCGACTGGCTGTGAAGATTGTTGAAAATATTTATAATAGTGCTAGTGTAATAATGGTCAGCTCGTGAGAATAATATAAGGCTGTCTACAAAAAGTAGGTGCAAGATTGATGGTCCAGATCTACTAATCTTAACTGGCGTCTAGTCTCCATTGGTTGTTGCTTGGTCAATTTGCTGAGATAGAGACTGCATTCAAATGATGAAGATGTATGGAAAGAGGGGGTCTCCTTTGCGTATATCTCTCGACAATTCAAAGAATTTTGTTGATTTTCCATTAATCATGATGGAGATGGTAGAGGAAGAGATACAATTCATGATTAGGTTGATAAGCTTTGTAGGGAATCCTAAGTTATGGAGAGATTTGCGGATGAAAGACCATTCAAGTCTGTCAAAGGCTTTTTTGAGGTCTAGTTTGAGCATCATGTTGCCCATACGGCCCGCCATGCATTTGATGGAGTGGATTGCTTATTGCACTGTGATGGCATTATCGGCTTCCGTTCTACCTGGTAGGAAACTGTACGATTGGGACTAATTAGGTATTTCAGGAAAGGGCGGATCCTATTCACTATTATTTTAGTAATGGTTTTATTAACGGTGTTGCAAAGACTTATAGGCCTGTATTGAGAAATGTGCTCAGGGTTCTTGACTTTTGGGATGAGAGTGATAAAGGTGGTATTTAGATCACCTGGTATGGTAGCAGATTCAAAGGCATCTTTGCAAGTTTGCAGGACAACACTTTTAGTGGCATTCCAGTGCTTTTGAAAGAAAATTGGATGAAGACCATCTTGTCCAGGGTCTTTAAGGGGTTTGAAAGATCTAATCACGTGGTTGACTTCTATTTCAATAATTATCCTGGATAGATGTGACCTATCCTCTTGTGACAGAGCATATTCATAGTGATTGTGTG